AGATAGTAGGTTTTGTTAGTGAAGTGCATAGCTCTGGGTGTATCTTCAGTAATACTTGGTAATGATTTTTGCAGATTAATCTTGTATCCTTGCTAGCAGGTGTTGCCTCTAGATTCAGGCAGCTCAGTCATTCCTTCCTTCCTCTGCTGGGTCAAACCCTGCTCCTGCGTGGCCGGCGGAGGCGAAGGCAGGCCTGGAGCCTTGTGGGCTGCTGGAAAAACCGGCTGCTGCCGTGCTCACTCGTAGGAACACGCACGGCAGAGGAGCCTGCAGTAAATGCGCAGGGTGTCCTGGCCCATTTAGCTCTGCCAGATGGTGCTAAAATACTCGTCCCAAGCACATGTTGCTTCTGTTGAGCAAAATGTTTATGCCACGCGGTGGCCTCTCCACCCCGGAACCAATGAGCATTAGCAGCAAAATCCCAGGGCAAAGGCCCTTCCTGAGCCCCTGCGTGGCTTGCAGCGCTTGGAGCGTCCGACGTGGAGTGCCGCGCTCAGGGCTCCGCAGGGACAAAGACGGGAAATAAAGGGAGGAGTTAGAAGGGGCTTAACACACACACAGAGTAAACAATTGAGGTAAAAACGCAGAAAGAAACAATAACGGAGAGAGAAGGACAAGGGGAGGCCAAAAGTATTAAGACAAAAAATCAGAGGATGATGTTGTTTCAGCAAACAAAGGGATGGCTGTGTGTGAAACACACCGGTGAAGCGTTTGGAAAATGAGAGTCCTGCTTTCATCTCTGCACAGGCCTCCTCTCTGACGCTGGACAAGTCGATGTCTGTCTCGATTTGCTGTGTGTGCGATGGGATAACGCGGGGGCCTTTGTTGTGCCTTTCTCTGCTCACCTCCGATGTTGCTTCTGTTCTGCTTCTGCGTTGTAAAAAACCAAAATGCTACATCATGCAAAAACAAAACAAAATAAAATGAGGCTTTGATGAAAGAAGGTAGGCAGGGAAATAGGTTATGCTGAACCAACTCTGAAAATCTGTTGTGGGGAAGGGGAAGGAGAGGCCTTTGCTAAAGGAAGAAGAAAGAGAAATAATACGGACCAGATTAATCCTACCGTTGCCTCCTGGGCTCCAGGGATGTGTTCAGTCCAAGCAGTTCAGTTTTCTTTGGTTAAAAAAGCTTCATGTGTAAGTTTTAAAATAGTCAAATCTGTTTTGAGAACTGTCTGAATGTGGGCTAACTTTCCTGAAACGTTGCATGGGACTTTAGATGAACAGCTCTTGCTAATTGGGAGCCGAATGATTAAGCCCCATGCAGCGCTTTGACAGGAGGCCTTCTTCTTGCCTACGCATACTTTTCTCAGTATAGAAAGTATTTCCATATTTTCAGCAGCTGATCTGTATTTGAAGCCAAGAGCAAGATGCATTGTTCACATTAGTTAAAGCTTTTCTAGGAACAGCCACTCTGGATCAGACCGTGGGTCTGTCTAGCCCAAGACAGTGTCTCCAGCAGAGGCCATTGCCCTCTGCTTCAGAGAAGGGAGTCCTCAAGCCTGCAGGGCTGTCTCCAGGGGGAATTTATTTTTCTTTGCAACAGTTAGAGTTTGGCTTTCCCTCCAAAGCTTGTGGGTTCATGCTCTTTACAAAACTTTTGTTTATCTTACTAATTTTTACTGTTCTCTGGAGATGTTTGTTATTTGTATAAATCTCTAACCCTTTCTGGAAACTGCTGGAGGTGCTCGCAGCCGTGTCCTGCGGCAGCAAGTTCCGCAGGTCAGTGTGTTGCAGCTCTACAGCAGTTCAGATCAAGTATTCACAAATGCAAGAGAAAATGCAGAGCCAGACAGCAACACACAAAGTGTCACAGAGTGGTGTTTCATAAATAAGAGATGCCCAGAAGGGACCACCTGGAATCTCCCCAGCTGTTGACAAAGCTCCTGGGAGCTTGGAGGGAGGGTTTATTTTAGCCGTTGGAAACAGATGGGTTTAGCTCCAAGAGCTTCATCCCAGATGAAGGGCTGGAGGCCAGAGAGTGGCGATAGCACAAACCCCACCCGGAGCCAGTGACGGTCCTTTGCGCACTTAGCTACCTTTAGGAATTTTCTCCCTCATCCCTTTTTGTCACTGAAAGTCAGTTTTGAAGGATAGGGCAGCTCATAGTAGCTGGATCATGGGAAAGGGCACAATTTAAATTATCCTGTGGGCAGGGAGAGAAGCTTTACAGCAGAGCTTTCATTGATTTCCTGGCTGTAGGACTGGCTCATGGTTATCAAGTTTCTTCATTATTCTGGAGCCCAACTGACCTTTCCTGGTGGATATTCAGAAAGATGAAAGAAACCCTGCTGGGGTTTCGTGCCTTTACTTGCTCCTCCTGTGCGCAGTTCGGACAGCTCCATCGGGGGCTGTGAGACGCAGGCCTTGGCGGAGAATGCTTGAAATGGATCCTGAGCCCTCAGTATGCTGGGCTATGAATGTCTTTTGCTAAAAAGTTTTTATCAAGAGAAGTCTTTATTAAGTGTTGTACATTGACAGCCAGATTCTGCTCCCACTGATTTTAGCAGTACATCTCATAAAGATTTTGGTGCTGTAATCCCTGCTACATAGTTAACTGCCTAATAATTGACCTTGCTGTTTCCCTGAAGGATTTAGCAAACATTGGCCCAAACTCAACTTTTATTGACGCTGATGATCTCACAGCTGGGGGAATTTGGCCCAATACTCTCAGTGTCTTGGAGCCATCAGGATGTATGTAGTGTGCTGATTGCTCTGGTTTGCTTCATGGCTGGCGGAGATGGTTATATACAGAGCTGCTTAAATTTCACATCATTGCCTATGGCTAAATAGCTCCTGCCTTCTCTGCAAGAACTGGCCAAATTCTGGTGTCAAGAGGTTACCCTGGTTAAGAGGACAGGTTGATAGCAAAGTCATAAATCTTTAACGCAGAGTGCATGAAGTCCTGCTTGCTTGAACACAGAAAGAATTGAGCAGTGGGACTAGTTTCCTTGTTCCCGAAGCACTAAAGTGCTCTTTAGGGATCTCTCAGGACCATGCTCCAATGCCTGTTTAAACTGCAGCTTTGCTCTTTCTCTTCTCTCTGTCTCCCTCCAGCTCTGCTGAACCCCCCTTTCCACTGAGCTCAAAGCCCAGCGGTTGTGGGGTCAGTGAGCACCTCGTGTTTGACTTTGGTTTGGGAAGCAGCATCTGCTCAGCTCTCAAAAACAAGCCCTGGCGCTGGCAGCCCGGCCAACCCTGCGCGTGACCTTGTTAACGCAGCGCGTGCTACGTTACCTTCGCTCCTCCTTCGTGCGCTGCTTTTATAGCCGGTGCTCTTTCCCGTTCTGCTGCGGATGGCTGAGAGGGAGACCCCTGAGTGCATGGGCACGGGCAGGGCTTTCCAAAAGGGTGTCCCCAAGGTCAGGGTGTGACCTGGAGGGCAGCTCTGTGTCCCTGGGGCATGAGGGTGGCGCAGACCAAGCTGTCATCTCAGGCTAACAGAGGCAGCCAGCACAGCAGCTGATGCTCGCGCAAAGCTCTTGATACGGCGACAGCTTTTTAAAGGCAGCAACGTGACAGATATTGTAGATGCAGCCATTGTCCCCAGTGGGGGACGTACTTGCAGACGCAAGGTAGTCTTATTGCAGAGGCCGACTGTGAATATAATAAACTGCTCCTCATTTGCCATTAACAGTAACTCAGCCGTAATAATAGTAATACTGGTAGCACACAGGTTCAGTGGCCGGTGGAAATTGCTGTTGCAGTCTCCATCCTGGCAGTTTCTCTATGTCTGCATGGATCAAGACCTTATAGCTGTGCAGGCTGCACAGTGCAAGAAGTCCATGAAAACAGAGAATGGGACTTTTTTCCCACTTTACTTACAATTGCGGATAATGAGGCTTCATCTGCTGTGTTCAGCACGGAAGGCATGATGGCTGCAGTGATGATGCCTCATTTCTAGCCCATCAAGAAAACTGCCTGAGCGAGAGGACTCCCTTGCCCTTGTGCTGTCTCAGATAAATGGGATTGCTGCCTGCCAGAGAAAGGCAAAAAAGTAAAAATACAGGGTTTGAAATGTGCTGCAGTCTTTGATGAGGCTATAGCTGAGATAGTTCTAAGGCTGTAGTGAAGCTATCTTGTCATGGTGGGTGTTCATTCCCCACTGAAGAATGCTTTATTTTTCAGAGCAATGGCAACAGTGTCCTTCAAACCCACCTTTTGTTTTTTAATAGCACTGATGGAATTGCAGTCTGGCCTGCAGTCAGATGATCCACTTCTGCTGGTCGTTTTTAAAAGAGAGGGATGCTTTTAGTTGCTTAAGCAGTAGGCAGTTCTTTTCATTAGGCTTCCAGGAGAGTAAAAATCAGGGATTTCTTTGGTGAACTTTCAGGAGGGCTGAAATCATTTGGCACTGCAGGGCAAGGCAAGTGGCCTGAGTATATTTACCATGTAATCAAACAGCTTGAATTACATGAGGCTGCATCATGGCTTCAAAGTATTTCTCACCCAGGGAAAAGCTTTGGCTGTCTCATAAGAAACGTATCCTCCCTTTGAGTGTGCTTCCCACCTTGAACGGGTCCATTTGGAGCTGTGCTGTGTGGACACAGGAATGGAGGGAAAGCCCTTCTTTAGCCAGCCACTGTGCAAATCTATCTCACAGGGCCAGGCTAAATGAACGTGTGTGTGCTGTAATAACCCCTGCAATTTTGCCTGAACTGTGTTCAGAAGGTGAAGGGAAAAAGCTTCTGCAGCTCTGTGTGACCCGTGAAAGTCCAATAACATGATCTATGAAACAGCAGAGAGTCTAAATCTGGTTCCTTGGTGGGAAATTTATTAACCTTGAAGAACTTTTGAAAGATAAAGTAGCATGAGTTGATTCTCTGTGTTTTATTTCTGCGAACACATCTCTAGTGATGCTAATGCTATTTGTGTATCAGCCATTAGAGTCTGGCTCACGGTGCTCTTATGTAACTTTCAAACCTTCTATAGTCTGATTTTGAGAAATGTGGAACTAGGACACACTCTCTTCTAATTGGGCTTTTGCTCTTTGTTTTGCAGGTTCTTTTCGAAATGATGGCTTAAAAGCTGCAGATGTCCTTCCTATACTAAAGGAGAAAGTGGCCTTCGTGTCAGGTGAGTACCCGCTTCCCTGGCTGTCTCTAGCCCAGCAGGGACACTGCTAGCCAGGATGCCAGCTCCTACTGCACAATCAAGAAATTCATATTTGAACTTAGTAGTACTTAAGTTATCTCTTCTACTAAGGATGCAGCTGTCTGTGGGACAGGGCCACACAGTAATATGGAGCGGTTTGCAGTTTGGCAGGTGGTGATCTTCTTAAAAGTCAGAGAAAGGTAAATGAGAAGCACTCAGTACTGTCTCTGTACCTGCTCTGCTGCAGCTCCAGCTTGTTGTGTTTCAGCTTTCCGGGTGGCTCCACTCAGGGATCCTGTTTTGGGGCTGTGGTGACTGAATGGCATTAATTCCTCTTTATAAGAAGCACTGGCTTCTATAAAACACTGGTACTTGATTTGCAATCCCAATCAGCTTGCGGTTGCAAGCACCATCCGTGTTACCTTTGCATAACTTAGATTCTCCAAAATTTAAAACCAAAGATTTAGGACCTTTGTTAAAGGACTGAGTTTGCCTGACTTGGAGGTAGACAGGGACCGGGTAGTACGTAAAATGTTTTGAGAATGGCTTGGATTTAGGTGCTTCTGGGGCGGATTACAACTTGTTAGGGACAGAGAGATGAGAAACATTCAAGTGGTCATAATCTCACATGAAATCACTTAATCTGGCAGCATAAAAATGGGATGTTTCCAGTGCTAGAGTTATTCACAGTTGCAAATCATTCAAGCTTCTTTTATTGATCTTTGCCTTTTCAATCAGAAATCCTGCATCAAAAGGAGCCAGCGCCAGACTGCTCTGCTCCTTATTTGCAATCTTTGCTCCCTGTTTCCTTCATCTCTGCAGTCAGGTTGAGTGCAAAGGTGAGGGCAGACAGCAGCGAGGCCGTTCGTTGCCTGGCTTCTTCCTCCCTGGCTCTCCAGCGCAGAGGTGCCGGAGCAGGGGCTGTGCCGGCGAGGGCTCCTTGGTCTGCAGAGCACTGGAGGTGTCTGGCAAGTCAGGAAATCTTTGACCTTGGATGTCAGTTGGCATGAAATGAATTCCCATGTGGTGGCAGTGAAACAATATGGAAACCATGAGTCCGGCAGTGACCTGAGCGAATGTTTTGATTGATGCCATGAAAAAGCAAGTCTTTGAGGGGAATTTTTAAGACACTGGAATGTGTCCTGTGAAAACCCAGGACCGTGGCAGCAGTACAGCCATGCACAACTACTTTATCTTACACTGGAGCCTCATTCTGAATGTCTTTGATGTTTTATGTCATTATTGTCTTTCACTCCTCTTAGGAGTGGAAGAGACGTAAAAATGTGGCATAACTGCAGGCTTCTTTGGGACAGAAAGCAAAACTGAACTGAATGCTTCTGGGGAAGCAAAAGGAAGGAATTTATGCAGGGACTATCCTGTAATTTAGTTCTTGGTTCCTGACATTGCTTCATGTGAAAATGTCTACAGGATTATTTAACAATTCATGAAATGTTTAATACTGACAGCTAGTCTAGATCATTTATGGAGCCCCTTCCACTAATGGTGCTTGAGCTCCATTCTGACCCAGAGAGTCTCTCACCAAATCATCAAGTCATTAGATGCGGTCCTGGGCCAGGCCTTCCTCGTGATGGGGGGTTTAAATAAACTGTGCCAACATGACACACTCACTCCTCCACAGCTTCTCACTGTGATTCACCGCAGGGAAGACACAGCGCTTCCCTCGCAGCCTCAGTACCCTCCAAAAGGGTCTCTGCTCCAAGTGTGACTGTTCCTGACACAGCTAGATAGCAGGCTTGCGATTTACACCTCCTCTCCATGGTCTCCAAACATAGTGAACAAGGGCAGTAATTGCCAGTGGCCTTTGAAGATAAAAGGTATTGTAAAAAGACAACTTCATCCTCCAGCTCAGGGCTTAAGTCTTGCTCAGACTTCCCCTGGGTTGTTGTAATAAAACAGATTAAGAAAAGTATTTGCATACTTCGAATGATGGCTGGGTTATTTTTAATTAAAATGGAATAACTTTGTAGAGCATGCGCTTTGAGCACAAAAGAGAAAATGTTTTCCAAAAAAAAAAAAAATCAAATTGCTGAAGCTTTCAAGAAGTAGTAGTCCTGCTGTAGTTAGAATGGACTCTGGGAGCACATTACATTTGTAATCAAGCTTCCTCAATGAAAAAAAAAAAAGATGCTTTATAGAGTCTTCTTCAGAGTTTTATCCTACAGTTAATTTTAACAATAACTGTAAGGTAAGATTGCTGTCAAGGGAGTTGCTCTTGTGCTTACAATAGCAGAATTCATCAGCACACACACACACAAATTCTCACTTGAGCATCTCAGTTATATAGTTAATTCTTTTTTTGCTTTTCTCCTCTGCTGTGGTTCACCAGCTTGTCTTTTAGACTATGATTCTACAGGAAGGCTGGAGGGAGCAAATATGTTACTTAATGCAATGTCTCTACCAGGCTTGGTGTTTCAAAGCTGTGGATGCTCCCTTTTATACCGCTTTGACCTTGCAAAACAGTAAGGCAGAGAGTTAACCGGAGAGTGACACTGGATGCTGCTGGCTCCAGAGCAGACACAACAAGGCCTGCTTGTAGGGCCGTGTAATCTCTGAGGAGCACTCAAGCCTTCAGAAGTGCACTTAATTTCAGAGTTGAAATACAGCTCTAACTAGCTGGGCACGGATTCATCCCAGCTAGGGCTCTGTGCCTAGCGCTTCCCCTTGGCTGGCTCTAGCAAGCAGCAGGCACAGGGCTCTCCATGAGCCTCTCTGAGCCTGAGCACTGAGGGACTGAGAGGTGGATAATGATTTTTTGTTCCTGGCAGTGGTTCTCCACTCCTTTCAGTGACCTCGCCTCCAAGCTGCGCTGATCCCGAGCAAGGTTCATTTGTGTGTCTAAAGAGCGCCTGAAAATCCCATTGCGATACTCATAAGCAGAGAGACAGTCTGACCGGTTGTGAGCAATAACAGATCTCTGCCGTCGCAGTCTGTTTCCATAATTGACCTCATGGAAGCAGATGAAGCAGTGGGGAGGTGGAGGCTTTGGCCAAACGCTTGTTGCCTAAACGCTAATAAAATCTTGGCTTTGCCTGGTTGGTTTGCTGTGTTGTTTCCAGCAGTGCAATGGCTTTGGGGACTGTTTGGGAGCAAGCTATAAGCCAGAGGCTGATTTTTGTATTCTGAGAAGGAGATGAGCACAGAGAAAAGGAAATAAAACAGGTTATACATTATTTTATTTTGTCTTATTTTTTAGCGAGAGAATGAGAGGTGGTGAAAGTGGTATTTTGGAATCTGTGGTTACTGCCTTTCCTGAGAAACACAGATGTGGCTTTGGAAGAGCACATTCAGCTTGATTCTATTTGTAGGAGAATTACTATTAATTGCTGGAACCACAGCAGGCCGCATGAGAGCTGCAGGACATTTGTGAGCATGGCCGCAGCATGGAAGGCGGGTGGCTCGGCTGCCACTCACCCCACAGTGGCTGTATCCTGCCGTATCCACTGGCTGGATTTGGGCAAGCAGGAGGGATGGAGCACCTTGGTGGGAGCCTGTTAGGGAACCAGCTGGGATCGTCCCAGTGTGGGTGGCAATCCTTCTTGTCTTCCTGCCTTCCTCAACCTCATCACACTTTGGGTATAAAATGCTTGTGGGCTGACCAGTGCCATAGGCCTTTCTGAAACCATTTGTCCCTCTCTCATGGTTTACCCGGAAGAGTTTTGCAGGAGCCTTTCCTTCACTTTCAATTCTCTACAGGGAAAAGAGTTCATAAAAAAGGCACCATTTCACTCAGGTTAAGTTTGCTGAGCTCTTAAGGCACAAGTACAAAGGAGTAGCCTGGCCAGTAAGGAAGGAGTAGGCCAAAGTGAGGCCAAGAGCCTGAAGACAGAGCAGAAGGAGCTTTACTGGAAGGTCTTTTCGTGGAAGCAGCTCCATGTAAATAGATCACATGAAAGGACAACTTTGCAATTACACTTCTCTAAGTTTATGCCTGGTGGAATGAGTCAATGAGGAAGACTTCAGTGGTTGTTTAGTTTGTGAGACTAGTGTTGAGTCTGGGAAAAGCTTGCTATGAGGTAAGGACTGCTACGAGGGAAGACCCTGGCCTTCCTGAAAACTTGTCTGAAGACCACAGGTCACGTAGTGCCAGAGTTACATGAGATACATGTGCAGGATGGTGTCTGCCCTTCTGTGTGACGGTTGTGTTTCATTCTTCAGAGAAAGAGCTGAAAAAACATCCCAAATCCCACTAGGCTTGGGAAGAACTCAGATCCAGGTTTCATGGGGTTTGAAACATTGAGTCGTGGACACTGGCATTTGTATTGGGTTGGGAACAGAACTAACAAAACTAGTTATTTTTGAATGATATAAACAGTTTGTATTTGGACAAAAAGTTTTGATTCAAAGTAATACTTTCCATTCTCTTTTTCTTGTGGAATGAAAATTCCAACTGAAGCATTAACAATCATTCTGCATTTTGTTACAGAAAAAAACGCCTTCTTTTTATACAGTTCCCTGATGTAATTTGAAATGGGCAGAAATTCCAGAAAGAGGAAATACACTTTTAAGAATATCATAGCCTTACTTGACTCTTGAATTTTCCTAGTGGTTTTGGGCTCGTCGTGCTTCCATCCAGGCTCTGCTGATGCATTGCTGCAGATTTTTTGAAGATGAAAAAGAGGAAGTTTAAACTGCAAGGTTTCCAGGTCTTCCGACGAGATCTGAGTCCGTGGGCTTCTTTATTCTTTTCTTTCTTTTTTTTTTTTTTTTTCCTTTTAATAATGTTAATTCATTCATAAGGGTATAGGAGAGCCTTTACCTATAGGAGCTATTCAGATATCCTCATCAGGGCTGTTAGAATAAAAATCAAAATGTTCCCTGAGATCTCTGATGTCATGTGCAGGTTGTGATCATTCACATTCACAGATAAAACACTGCTAATGTGCAGAACCACTTACCGTTTTTCTTTCCATATGTTTCAGCTGTAGCCATGCTCTAAATTAAACACTTTCTGCAGAGAGGAG